GGGGGGGGGGGGGGGGGGGGGGGGGGAGGAGGAGTAATTTGCACACGCACAAATTAGTTCAACACAAATAATAACCTTGAACCTTTAGCTCACCACAAAGAAGGGAAAATCATTGACGTATCAAATAAAAAACCTACATTCACATAGTAGAAGGAAATATGCTAGTGTTTCCCAATTTTGTGCAGTTATCTTCACAAGAGAACGAAAGATTTTCCTAATTTATAATGAAAGCAACCTCACCCTGGAGGGATGGAAGTGGGGATAGGACAGAAACAGTTCACACTTCACGTGTTAGTACAACAGAAATGCAAAAAAGAGGACTGAAAACTACTACAATAATTTATTGACTCCTGAAATGGTTTTTGTGTATTCTGCCATCCAATCTTTACACTAGAACATCAACTTCCAAATTGCAGTAGCTTATCTCTTCTCTTAGAGCTTGTTTGGTATAGCTATTAGGCCAATTAAAATCAATTTTTTGATCGTTATTTCACTATTCCAGCAATCATTTTTTAATTCTTCTCTCACAGGAAGGACCCACTTTATCTCTAACGGTCAAAATATCAATTATCAAAATCCATACCAAACAAGCACTTAGTGTTTGCTAATAATTTTTTCACATAATAACACCAAGTTTGAACTCGTGGGACAAATAACAACCCCTAAATCATGTGTTCTGCAATATAGCTAGCATATTATGTTAAAAACATAGAACTAGAAATTTCCATTAGGCAATATAGAAACTTCATCTATTATAAGAGTCCGTACACATACAAGTTTCCTCCAATCATTCGGAAAACCAAATAAATGAATTTTAATATATTCACGAATTTTAGGTGCCTTAATATGTTCCTTGTATACTATTTAAATGATTTTTGAGCTCATGATACCATAAGAATAAAGTAACTCAATCATCATATTTTTGGTACCAAAATGAGAATATATAGCCGTTATGGACAGTCAAGTCACTTGATGTGAGATGGATAACGAACATTTTTCATTTTAGTGGCCAAAGAATGGGAATCAAAAGGGGCTTAAATTGTAGAATATAAGAAACAGCAATTCAAAAATAAACAGTTAAGATAAAGAATTCACAAAGTGCAATAGAACAAATTCTCACTTTGCAATCTCCTGGTTATCATTACCAAAAGTCACAGCCGCGTGCTTTATAAATTCACGAGCATAACTGTTCTCAAAACAAGTGAGATCAAACTTATTCTTCCGCAAGAAATTTGAATCCTTGAAGTACCCATCCTTGTACAGATGATACACGAACAATTCCATATCAGGGGAAAGCTTTTTGTAAACCCTCGGATCTTCAATTCCATAAGAATATATCTCCCCCGACATTTCATTTTTTTTCAACCCATTATTTGCAAACAATGCATATAAACTCGATTTAACCTCATTTTTCGAAACCCCGTCAAATGATGGAATCTTTGTCTTCAAAACCTCCCTCGGTTTTTCCTCGTTCAAACCCCTCACTTCTTCCTCCAACTTCTTCAGTTTCTTCTTCAACTCCGCATTATGAGTGTCACTTTCAATTTCAATATTGTTATTTCTAATATCTCCTGAAAGCCCAACAGCTTGTTTGAAGTAAACGCTCAATCGTTTATTCGCTTTCTGATTCTTTTCCTCACAATTTCCCGACTCTTTGTGCTCAAAATGACCTAAAAGAGAGACGGGTCTTTGAAAAATAGAAGAAAGAAATGAAAAATGGTTGCGTTTTGAAGAAATTGAGGTTAGTGTATGAGGATTTGTGAAATACAGCGAAGGGCTTTGGAGCTTGAAAAGTGTGTGAAAATGGCGACGGCAAACTGTTCTCTGTAAAATCATTCTTGGTTATTGTGAGGGCTTTATTTTGTGAAGATTTTGGTGTTTCAGACCGGGAGATTTGAGGTTGAAGAGTGAACGCTGAAGTGCACAGAAATAGTGAGGGTTTTAGGAAAATGATAAATCTTGAGGCAAGGCTTCCGAAGGAATCACAAAAAGAATTTTAGCCCCTGCATACATTTGATGTTAAAATACTATTGAAAAATTCTTCTTTTTTT